GGAAGGAAGGAAGGAAGGAAGGAAGGAAGGAAGGAAGGAAGGAAGGAAGGAAGGAAGGAAGGAAGGAAAGGGGGAGGTGATCTGGATGGACTTTAAGTAAAGAGCAAAAAAAGAGAGAGAGAGAGAATAAATTTTCTTTTACAATCGAGACCGTTCTGTTTGGCATTTTCATTTCTAACCTAAATTCCATTTTAATTCTTGTGTCAGGTTTTTATTTTTCTTCTCCTCCCTCCCCTGTTCCATTACTGTTATTAATCGGGGCATCGACAACCAAACCTGATTTGTTGGCTCAGAATTTTTGTGGTGTTTGTTTATTTTTATTTTTTAAGAGCTGGGATTTGCCTCTGTCCCCCTCCCCTTTTTTTCCCCCTTTGGTTTATTTAATTCTCTAGAATTAGAATTCTAATTCTAAGTTAATCCTCCGTGCCCCCTTGTCGAGGTACCATCTGCTAGCCACATCTCGGGCTGCAGCAAATAAGTTAACAACTTGTGTATCCGTGTGTGTGTGTGTTGTAAAAAAAATCTGTAAATACCACGTAACGCAATGAACATGTTGTAGAGAACTCTATTTTGTGTCCCTCTGCCCCCCCCGCCCCCCCGTGGCACTAACCACCATCGTTCTCTTGTGACCAATGTCTGTGCATGGTGTCTGTTTATTGCCTTTCCAAACTTGAGTCCTGTTATTGATATGTAAGTTCATTAACAGTCTAACTGTGTGGTGTTTCTCTCCAATGCCTTCCAACATTTCATCGGCTGAAGTGAGTATCTCTCTCCCATTTCGATGGTGGTGCGTGCAATGTATGTAACACGAAGGGATCCTATGCTGTGTGTTGCCCTTCCAGAGACCTCAATAAACAGATTTCTGTAGCCTACATTTTTCTGCCTTAGCCTAGCCCAAAAACCTTTCCCCTTTCCCGCCTTTCTGCTGATTTAAATCTCGAGATTTATTCTGAAGTCCCCGGGGCCCCCTTCAGACCACATTCCCTTCTCAAAACAATTGGAGTCTCTGGGGTCCTTGGTGCTCTCTGAGCGTGGTGGTTTTCTTGCAGACGTCTCTTGACCCAACTAGGGAATATCATCAGTGGTGAAAGGGAGAGGGGCTTGCGGAATGGAGGAAGAGGAAGGGAGAAAGAGGAGAAGGATTGTATGGTCCTTAGTGCTCTCTGAGCTTGGTGGTTTTCTTGCAGACGTCTCTTGACCCAACTAGGGAACATCATCAGTGCTGGAAGGGAGAGGGGTGGAGGAGGAGGAGGAAGAGATGGATTGTAGTCCTTTGTGCTGTGTGAGGTTGGTGGTTTTCTTGTGGAGTGGAGGACTGTAGGTTCTTGGATGCTCTCTGAGCTCGTCGTTTTCCTGCAGGCGTTTCATTCCCTGACTAGGGAACTTCATCAGTGCTAGAAAGGAATGGGATTTGTGGAGGAGAAGGGAAGGGGGAGAACCAGCCTCTCTCAGAGGCTGAGCTTGGTGCTCTCTGGAGTTTCGTACTCTCTGAGCTTGGCTGTTTTCATGCAGACGTTTCATGGCCCAACTAGGGAACATCATCAGTGCTGTCTAGCAGGATTTCTTTGTCAGCACTTGGCTGTTCCTGGGCTTTGCTTGAAAGATTGCTAGGAAGAAAAGGCTTTGTAAGGAGGGACGCGACTTCTTCCATTGTCCAAACCTAATTTTGGCCTACGTTCTCGGGACATGCTTGATTTAGAAGCCGGCGAGAGAGTTGGACTAGCTGAGCCTGGAGGATTAACTTGGCTGTCAGGTCAAGGTGCCAGTTGGTTCCCTCTGCTGTTCGTCCGATGGTATTTAGGAGGGCATTGCTTTGGGTCTCCATGGCAGGGGATCCTGCTGGAGGAATCCAGGGGGTTTCTGAATCTTCTCCTAGGAGAGGCTGCTTCCTGGAACTCCAAGCACATCCATGGGGCTTTTCCTGGCATAGTTCGGATCCATAGGCCCCCCTGTTGTGGTCCGCCAGCGGCCAGCAGAGCTGGCGGCAGATTCGGAAAGAGAGGAGGTTGGGGAGGAACCTGGAGTCTGGGGAAGGCTCTGAGGAGGGCTCTGTGTCGGAGGCAGAGAGGGGATCAGGGCCGTAT